GGCAACGTGCTGAACTGGTAACTGCTTCTCGGTGCATACCAGCAAAGAAGCCAGAGTAAAAGTCTTCTAAGCTCCCTAAACCTTCCAACCATGCCAAATCTGCGTACGATCTCGCGCCATTGGAGTGGAGAGATGGGGGCTAAACCGTTCTCTAGGATCATGACGAATACACGTGCGACGAAACGCAAATCATCGAATCGGTCACTGACAGGCTTGTGTCCTCGTTGCCGACGACGCAATAGGCTGCGAATGGCCATGATTGATTCAGGCGACACCATGATGCCGCGAGCACGCATGTCTTGGAGCACTTCCACGACGTGCTTCTGTCCAGAGCGTTTAATGTAGACTTGCAAGAGCAGGTTCCAAGACTCTTGACTAGAGTCATTGTGGAAGAGCGTTAGAATGGCAAGTGTGCGCTGGACCTGCGCATAATCGTCGTTGTCAAGATAGTGCTCGAGCAGCTTGCGTTGCATTTCCACGTCGCCAAAGACGTCCGGATGCTGGTCGCTTTGCAGCATACTGCGCACCAGTTGCCACTTCTGCTCCATTGCGAACGTCTCCAGTGCCAAAGAGAAGACGCAGCCCTGCAGGGCAATGCCTGCTTGCTTGAGCTCTTCGAACCTCATAGGTAGCTCCTCCACCGGTTGTGTTTGCAGGGCCATCGTGAGCACAGCTTGAGGCCCAATCTCGTTGATGCCCACCATAGAGAGACCTTGTATTATCGAAGCCGGTGGAAAGGTACGCGTTGCGAACATGCGGGCGACGAACGAGTCTTCGAATCGGACGGGCGCGGTATCGGGGCCTTCCAAGCGGCGCAGAAGGTTCTCATTATATTTTGCTGCGTCTCGCCTCCACTTCTTCGTCGACCCTTTCGTGTCAAAGTAGACCTCACGAGCTGAATCCTCGACGGTGAACAGCTGGACGAGAGGATGTGACGCTACAGACTCTGACGGCATGTCGTTGCGAAGAGTGCAAAGTGCATGCCATCGGCGTGCCGCAGTTATGTCATCCTTCTCAATGAGGGCTGGCACCACCTCGTCGTAGAGGTCCCGCTCATTGCTGTGCTCGTATATCTCCATCAATGCTTCGTATGCGCCGTGCTTGTAAGTCGATCGCCCCTGATGTGCCAGCTGCCGTAGGGGAAGCCGCTGAGGCTTCAAGCGCTTTTGAATCGCGTAGTGATGCCTCAACGCTGGCGCTGTTCTCCTCGGAAGCCAGTGGCTCATGACCAGATAGTACAGGCCAGGGTATGTCTTGCCTGTTTCGTGAAGCAGCTCCTCAGCGTGCGCTATCGCCTTGTCCGTGATCAGGTGGTTCTTCACAAAAGTTCCCCATAGGAATGCGGCATCGGGAGTGTCTTCAGTGGGCAGGCGGTACCCTCGATGGCGGAAGTTCTGCCAGACATTGCGGACACCCTTTTTCCCGTGTAGCCTCTCTTCGCTTGCAAGGATGGCGGCGAGTTGTGCAGGATCGTCTTCCCTTTCCGCTACACGTACGGTGTCGTTTTCGAAGATGTCTATGGTCGGGATGAGGGTATCGTTGGACTCGTCACGCTGGAGTGCCTTGAGCACGTGGTCTCGGACTGCCGCGTCTTCGCTTGCATCCTTCATTCGCCTCCATTTCAGCTTGGGTTGAGGTTTCGGCTGGGTGGAGTAGTTGCGGCGGCGTGCTACTGGCGGGCAGCATTTTGTCGCCGCGGAACAGGCTGCGGGGAGTTCGGGGGCATTGACGATGGAGCGCAGGAGTCGCAGGGCTGACGGGCTGGCGAGGAGCCTGTCCAGAGCCGGTGGCATCAACAAGACAGGGGCGAAGGGCGAAATCAGTCCATTGGCGTCGCAATCGCCGTGCGTGAACTGGAGATGCGGAAAGTTGTTGCGCCCAAAGCGGCCAAGGGCCTTGGCGGCCGACTTGCTTTCGCCGGCGGATCATTCGACCTCGCGACATCACCAAATCGACCAATCCACGAATCCACCAATTGCCCCCGCAAGCCGCGCAATACTCCTCTACACTCTTCAAAATGCCTGGGTACGTCCATCCTCGAGCTTTGGGCCCGACTGAGGGCCCCGGAGAGCACCGCGACAGCCTCTAGCGCTCCTCCGCCTTTCCGCACAGAGCTGGATACTGACAGTCGGCAGCTGGGTTATGCGCGAGAACAAGGTGCCTTACTGGCAACGCGAGTTCCAGAAGCACGACGGACTGAGGACCTGGGAGAAGGTGCGTACTGAATATACAAGAGGAGGGTTAAAGTAGGCATGACGTGGTTGGGGATGATGCGCATGCGGCGCTGGACACATGGCGTCTGGAAGTGAGAAAACACAGGGATAAATGCTGACAGATTGCTTCTTAGGCCCGCGGAAAGTACCTGGTACCCGGCTTCAAGGTCATCATGTTCAGCAGCCTCGGCGCCAGCATGTACATGATGGGCCGTCTCGTCCTTGTAAGTTTGCATTGGGTTGAATTGAGTGCAACATCATTACTAACTATGATCAGGGACACAAGACCTGGTTCGGCAAGAACTAGACTCCGCACTTCGAGCATGATATCCAAATGGGTGGGACCAGTATGAGTCTTCTGCATCAATATACAATCAACCGACAAGTCTTTACCCATTACAACATCTTCTTTGTCAGACCGCATAGAACAATCTTCATTGTCTGTTTACGCTGTGTTCACTTATTGAAGTGATGCTGCCACGCAGCTACTATATGGCTGACAAAACACGAATGGCTGTCACTTTGCAACGATGACTAGACTGACTTGTGAGAATACGTCTTTGGGTCGACCTTGCGGATACGTGTGAAGTAGCAGACAGTTTAGTTACTCGGACTGCAATGGGGCTTGATATCGAGCTTCCATAGTCATGGCAGAGTGCCCGTTCCTACCAGTGTCGAGTACGGGAACAACCACTTCAGATGAGCAGTCTGGCAAACCAATGTACCCAAGTATCCAATATCAAACTTCTCGACTAAAATTATACAATAAGCTATAGCAGGTTCGAGCGCAGGACCACGAGGAGCTCTGGGGTAGCTTGCCCATATGCCCCTCCACATGCGTGCTAGTCGCTGTAAAATGAGGTCAGTGCCTGGAACGTGGAACCGAGCCGAGATCCTCCAAACCACCTCCCGCGCCGCCAAATCTCCACGTACGCTCCTTCGTTGTGACGCATCGACACAATGGCAGACTTCGTCAAGGGTCTCTTCGGTGGCCAAAAGCCTGTCCAGGCTCCAGTTGTTGGTGATGATGGTACGTACGCTACATTGCATGCGCGGTCGCGAGGCCACCAGCCTGGGAAGCGGGACCACACGAGACCCCTTTGCGATACTCGAATTGCTTGACAGGAGATGGAGTCGCGAGGTTATCGTGAGGATATCATCGGAAATCGCAGAGCTTATCAATATACATAATCAATGGCTGCGCTGACACCAACCAGACTTCGCCGACTACGCAGGTGCTCCTGAGCCCACACCCGCTGCCATCTCGTCCTTCACGACCGGTACCGGTGCAGCGCAAGCCGCTCCTACAGGCCTGGGCGATAACCGGCCCTATACAGCATGGTACCGAGTGTGGGAGCGCACTACCATGGACGACTTCAAGCTGGAGATGTACATCCTGCCATTCCTCGTTGCTCTCATCGCGGTTCACCTCTGGGGCACCAAGCGCAACCGCAGCAAGGCCAAGGCGTGGATGAAGGCGCACGCCCCTGTCCTGACCCAGGAGTTCGCCCAAGTCGGCTACACGCGCCCAGATGGAGAGGGAGCGGTTGCAGATGTGGACAGCATGCTCAAGGAGAAGAAGGCCGACGAGTACCAGACATACGCGACTGGACGCCAGAACGTTGCCTTCGTCGACTTCAGGCTGAGCTTCTACAAGCGCGCCAACCCCTTCATGTGGCTGGGAGAGACCGTGCTTCCCTTGTTCTTCGAAAGTTTCCCGGCACCTAGCGAGCGTCTCGAGGCTACGGCCTACGTTTTCGATGGCAGGGAGACCAAGTTCGCTCCTTCGTACGGTCAGGCCGACGCGAAGAAGGTCACCAACAGCTCTTTCGACGGCTTCGTCTTCGCAATTGTACACAAGGATATCATGAAGCGCATGCGCGACGAGCGCTACGACTTGTCTCTGACTAGCACGCGCGACCACGCCAAGTTGCCTGTCTGGGTCACTGTCATGAGCGAGAGCGCCGAGGTTACCGATATGCTGCTCACACCCGAGCTCATCAAGGCCGTGAACGACGCCGGAGACAGCTTCGAGGCCATCATTGTCAGCGACCAGCCTATCAACGCGCCCAGGACGTAAGTCATCCAGCATTCAATCCCTCTATAACCTGAATTGAGCTAACGTCTTCTAGCCTCGACGAAACCAAGCCTAAGAAGCGCCTCAGCCTCTCCCTGAAATTCGCCTCGGACTACTCCACCACCATGCCCATCTTCCAATACTTCCTCCGTCTTACCGACCAGCTTGCTTCTCATGGACACTTCCGCCCCGAAGCCCTCCGCCGCATCAAGCAGACCCGCGACGAGCAGATCGCCAAGATCAAGAAGGCAGATGATGAGGAGAAGGCAGAGGAGAGGAAGCTTTCGCTTGACAAGGCAAAGAAGGAAATGAGAGACGCCAAGCTGGGTCGTCTCAGCGCCGATGAGCAACGCAAGTTCCTCGAAAAGGAGAGGGAGAAGAACGCGAGGAAGGGTATGAAGAGGAGCACCGTCAAGGCATAGGCTCCTCCTGATGGAACTTGAGAAGGGGTCAGAAATGATCCGAACATCTCTAGGGCATTGCTTGGATAACGTAGCACATAGGATGATTGTATTAGTATCAGGGAAACCACGGCATTTGTGTCGTGGTAGCAAAGAGTAGTAATTCATTAATCGCACGCTACTTTACAGACAGAGAAACAACGCGCCGTCGATTGCCCAAAGCATTCCATCTTGCAAACTCAAACAACAATAGGAACAAAACGAAACATCGCTGTGCGCCCAAAAAAAGACTTCCGCAAAACAGTCTTCTCACGCCTTGTGTGCCCTCTCACGTCTACGCATACCGTAAGATCCACCAGGAAGCTCACTCTCCGGCGCCTGCGGTATACCGATATGCGTAGTAAACCCAGTCTCGATAGCGGCTGCGGTCATAACAGCAGTAGGGTTTTGATCCACTGGCCACGGAGTCTCGAGTCCGGCTGCGTCGAGTGAAAAATGACTGGATGGGAAGTTGTCCGTGAAGGATTGTGGACACCGCATCATGCCACCATAATCATCCACGCATTTGATAGAAACACCGTCGGTTGGTGAGGGAGTCGGCGAGGGGGTCTGGAGTGCGTTATAGTCTCTCAGCTTCGATAGAAAGTCTTGCGTGGCCGATACCCCACACGAGGTCAAGCCGTACTCACCCATGCATTCAAGAAAAGTACCTTCAGTCGGCAAGGGTGTTGGCGACGGAGTCTGGAGTGCGGCTGCTTTGGACTTACTCATACTCGATAGAGCTTCGTCTGTGTAAGATTGCGGACACCAAGTCAGGCCACCGTTCTCGCCCATGCATTCAAGGATGATAGCGTCAGTCGGCCATGAGGTTTCGATTGCGGCGGGTTCGGGCTCAGTTGCGGTTCCATGGAGAACCTTTGAGGTGACCCAGTCCGGACAGCTTGTCAGCCAACCATCATCGCCCATGCATTCCAAAAAGACACGGTAATGAGGCTCCGGAGTCTTGAGTGCGGTTGGGTTGGGCTCCGATGGCGTCGCTTGGAGGGCGTCCGAGGTGTATTGCATCTCAAAAGGGCCATCTTCGTTCAACATGGAATGAACCGAGTCGTTGCCATCGTAGTGGTCCGGATCAAGTGGCCCCCAGTAACAGTCGGGGGTTTCGCATGCACAGTAAACGAACCCTTTCCCATCCCCGCAATCGACCAAAAAAGGATGGTCAGAGAATTGAAACAGGCATATTGGTTGGTAGATCAAATAATTCGCTGGATCGTAGCCGTTCGGACAGCAATAAAGAGCAATCTGATCGTACATGTAGCCACGTGCGTCGACTGGCACGTTGGAGTCGCTGGCAGTCGCTGAACCGAGTCCAACTTTGGCAACCTCCTTCGCCATATGTCGAATATGCCTCCAGTTCGCGCTGTCTTCACCTAGACTCCATGCCATGACGCCACCGAGCTTGTATTTACGGACGATGTTGTCGAATTTCCTTGTGATGAGTTCGGGCGTATCCCATGTCCAGAAGAGGCGGTTTGTGGCATCGAAGTAGTATTGTCCGCCAGCTACCTCGTCAGTAACACCGTGTTTGGCTGCGAGCTGCCATGAAGCTGCTACATCGGCGTCCGTACATCCAGTTCCAAACGCATGTTGACAGGCGCCGTTGCAATGCTCAGGCGAAGTACCGCAGTGGCCGTGTTGAGAACAACAGCCTGTCTCACACTTGGTTCCCTTTTCTGGACCGCAGCTGCCGTCTCGGGATACGGTCAGAGAGGAGGCATCAACGGGACGCATGCGAGATCTCTCAAAGGTCCAGGCGCCAGAGGTGAGTGTGTCTTTGCCTTGGGCATCTTCCGCAAGGACGATGGGGCAGTTGAGGGGGCTGCCACTGCAGTCGCCTTGCGTGGTGAAGTATTTTGCGTAGTATGCGAAGCCTAGGTTGAGCTTGGAGGAGGGTGCGCCCATGGCGAGGTAGTCTTTTATGCTGTTTTCAGCATCGATGGCGGAGCTGTGGTGTTTGGTTACTGTGTCTCGGCGGTTCATTAGGTCGTAGCTCATCACCTGGGAGGGTTAGTATGATCTCTGCAAGGTTGGTGTGAGAGAGATGATGTCACTTACGTTGATGAAATCGACGGATGGCCAGACCCGAGGTCCGGTTGTTCGAGTGTATCCAAGCATGTCAACTACTACTTGTCAGTTGACTTGCTTCAAACATGTATATGATGACTGGCCTTCTTTTCCTGGGACAGCGATCGAAAGCAGCTTCTTCCCAATAGCGGCACGGATGGCAACTAGTAGCTTAGGGAACGCAGTGATCTGGTAAGTCTGATCCCGGTTCGTCACTTGTTTGTAGTCCGCTCCGTTGCCGCCAGGATATTCCCAATCAATGTCTTCTGTTGTGAGCATCGACAAGTAGCCAATGTAGGTAGATGATATACTCACCGACTCCATCCGCTCCAGTCCTGGCAAGCATAGTAGCAACATCAGCGGCAAACGCGAGCATCGATGAGTCTGACTTCGTGGCTTCGGAAAAACCAGCCGTATCGCCCCAGCCGCCAACAGCAATCATGACCTTTGCGTTGGGGAACTCGGTGCGGATGATGTGTACGGGGACTTTCGGCTGGAACGTAGCTGTTGCGTTGGCTGGGGCAAAGGCGAGGATGACATGGTCGATGCCAGCTCGATCTCGTGGGCCATTGGGACGCGTTGGGTGCCATTCGTCTGCGTATATGACAAATCGGGCTTGTGCTGATATTGCGAGCAACGTCGACGCTAGAAGCGCCGTGGAAGGGAAACGCATGCTGGAGCTGGGATGTACTCAACAGCTTGCGAATGGTCGAATAGAAAACTAATAGACAATGGGGTGATGAATGCTACCAAGGTAAGCAATACGTGTTGTCATGGAGAAGATGGAAGCGTATCATAGAGATAGATGTCTCCCAATCTGGCCTGTGGCGTCCATCGTAGCTATCTCAACGTGGTGTTTGTTCTTGCAGACTGTCTGAAATGGAAAGAGCGATGATAGATGAGAGCTCTTTCTGACAATAACTCTAACAGCGAAACTATTCGTTCTCTCGCTCTTCGATAGAAAACAGAATGGCACGACGGAAAGCATAAAAGCCTAACAAAAGAAGTAGGCGTCGGTTGACTACAAGGTGTAGTACATTCTATATTGTATGGCTCTCAATACAGTCGCCTTCCTAGTTAACCCGACGTGAAGAAGAGGAAGTATTGCAAAGAAGCGGGGAATTCATCGTAATAGCAACATTCAGTCTGGTGAGCATTGCCATGTGCCGAGTACAACACAAACTCGCTCGCCGCTTCAGATGCTAGCTGATCTAGAAGGGGAAATGGCGACTGGATAGAGCCTCATGAAGACATGACATGATGCGCGCTGAAAATGGAAAGTTTACAGGCGTCCACGAGTATGGTCCAAGCATGAGATTGATCATGGAATGAACGATATAGCAAAGATGAGAAGGGTGTAGAGAGTTAGGTTGTGTAGTCGCTCCTACCTAAACTGATAGCCGAGATGCAACACAACAGCGCGATCAACAGCTACTGGACAACTGGAAGTCGCGGCCAGCCAACGTCGATTTCCGCATGAACATGCAACTCTTACATCGAAGCACGTCGCGAATTCCATCGTCATTGGAATCGGGTCAGTCATCCGGTATCGCAAAAATCATCGGAAATGCTTCGTCGGGTCATCGACTTCCCGAAGCCAAACCGACGTCGGTTTTACATCCTTGTTACAAGTCGTTAGTGTTGCTATGTATGACAACGTATACACAGGGAAAAGTATAGAGAAACGCGCATTGCAGAAAAAAAGAGTCAGATCTTGCAGATGCTATTTGGAGGCATGCATAGCAGACTGTCCGAACTATAGCGACCATTCGCTCCTGGGTATAGGCTGCTGGAATTCTCTGTGCGAACACCGTACAACAGCTGCGTGACAGTGACAGACCACACAGTCCTTGTAGCACACCAATCCAATCACTAAACTCTCCACAATCGCGAAACCGTCGCTGCGGCAGGTGCTGCATGTCAGACGCGGGCGCCTTTCGTGGGGACGATGATGCGGACAGCCGTTGAGAACCACGGTTCACATGCGTCGAGTCCACAAGCGACCGGACAGCTCACCCAGTCCGCGTCAATTTGCAGCACCTGGACCGCGATCGATGAACCGTCTCGCACGTGATAGTCCGGCGGATCCGTGATCGTCGGGCCACGCAGCTGCAGCCATGCTTTTCGGGCTGCAGCAATATGGAGCTCTGACCAATTATGACGCGACGAAAACGCGGTGGCTGGGGAGAGGCTTGGAGCTATCAACAGCTGGCCGCGCGCGACATGGATAGGCTGAGCTGAAAATGCCTCTCTTCACGGAGGAGCTGGCGCATCATGCATGAGCAGGCCGTCCGGCCCCAATTGAAGCATACCACGCAACATTGGGATCGGCCCACTGCCAATGGCCATGGTCGTGGAGCTGCAGCCAGGTCGGGGAAGCTCCCGGCAGCTCTGTGGAGCTCCAATGCGACTCGACTCTGGATTGCGACACCAATTGCTGGCCATTGCCCGGTCAACAGCCGTGCTAAGATCAGTTGCGCGTCCGAAATTACCTCGGTGCGAGAAGCGCCAGGATGTGATGGGTTCTCTGGGGTTGAATCGGTCCATGGCTGGGAAAAAGGGGAAGCTGATACGCGCTAGTGCACCGTGTCAATAACGCTAGGCCCAGCTTGAACAGCTCTGCCAAAGCTTCCCAGCCTCCACAACCCTGCGACCATCGATACGCCGACACAACAGTGATCCGACTGACCGCCAATCTACTTGATCCCCCTCCTCGGCCAGCCTGACTCCATCACTCCTCCACCTACACCCCGCTACTGCATCCAATTGCGCATCTTCAAGCTGCTGCACGTCAACACCATAAAGCTGGCGACTCTTCAGTAGATCCTATATCTCCAAATATCTCCACGTGAGACCCTCAAAGGAGCCAAGAAGTTCTTCTTGATTCCTTTCGAATTGTTTTCGAACGGTTCGAAGGGTTTTCAGGAACGAACGACCAGACTCCGGCAAACTGGATTTTGAAGCACGAGTATGCTCTCTCACCGCGAGTGTATAAGCAATTATGCTAATCCACCCAGGTTCCGATCCCCTTCAGTGTCTTCCCGTCTGCGTATCGGAACGCGGAAGTTAAGGAATCTACCAGTGTCCAGGTAGAAGAACAGGAAGCACAGTTCGAGCAACAGGCTTCTCACGGACGGGAAGGTCACGAAGAGGTCCACGAATCCTTCTCCGCTACCGTCCTCCCTCCTCCTCCGGCTCCCCAACAGCAGCAGCAGTTTGAGCAGCAACACCACGACACCCACGTCAAGGAAGAAGTCCGCATCTACGAAGAAGAGCGCCTCCGTCGTCCCCAGCCTCCTCCCCAGCAGCAGCAGCAGTTTCAGCAGGCTCCCCAGCCCCAGCAGTTTCACGCTCAGCAGCCTCCCCAGCACCGTGAGGAGCTACATATCCACGAGCAGACTCGCTACAGACAGCCCGGACAGCCCCAGCAGCCCCAGCCCCAGCCTCATTCTCAGCACGTTCAGCGTACTGACCGCGTAGAGTTTGAGCGATCCCACGACCGGTAAGTCCGATCCATTGTTTTGCCAGCGCATCTTCGCACGGATCAGCACAACAGACCAACCCCCTGACTTTAGCGGCACCCAGCCACGCGCTAGCCGCTAACCCCTTTCATCTGTTGTTGTCCTAGCGACATGCATGCCCCACTTTTCCCTCACCTCCTCTAAGCTCTTCCTTGCCCAACCCAAAGCTGACCTTCCTTTCTTCCTTCAGCTACCAACCTCACCCCCAACCTCCTACATCATCCCACTCCCACGTCGAGGTTCAGGACAGGACCTACGATAGACACTTCAATACAGTCCACGGCCCTGCCACCGACTACGCTCCATCCCAAATCGACGTTACTGAACGTCAGATTCGCGAACGTACCCGTCCCATCGTCGCCGGTGCAAGCTACTCGAAGGAGACTTACACCACCAAGCACGACACCTTCCCCAGCAGCAAGCACGTCGAGTCTGTTGCCTCCCACCAGCCATCTGAGGTCCGAGTAGAATCATCTGCTCGTTCCACTGCCGCACCCCCCAAGCACCGCAAGCGTGATATGGGATATTACGACAACGAGGGCCAATACCACTCGCTTCGTCAAGGAATCTCTCACGCCGCTCACAAGGTCGCCGACCGTATCCAACACCCCATCCACCCTCACCGTCACCACCACTCTCACGAGCACTCCTACCCCGGTGCCAAGTACGACGACGACCGTGAAGAGGTAATCGTTAAGGAGAAGTACACTTCAGCTACTCCTTCTGTTGCCCCTGCCCGCCCCGTCCAATCCGGAGCTCCAGTTGAAAGGGTCGTTCGCGTCCACAGCTCCCCAGCCCCAGCCCCTCCCAGGTCCACAGTCTCTGCTGCTGCACCTGCCCACTCCCACTCCATCACCCACGCACCCGCACCCGTCTCCGCTTCTATCGCACCTGTCCCGACTTCTGTCCGTACAGTCCGCAAGATGGCTTCCACCAAGACTATCACCATCCCCTGCCACCACATCCGCATTGGCGATCTCCTGATCCTCCAGGGCCGCCCTTGCCAGGTCATCCGCATCACCACCTCCTCCCAGACTGGCCAGCACCGTTACCTCGGTGTTGATCTGTTCACCAAGCAGCTCCATGAGGAGTCCTCCTTCATCTCCAACCCGGCTCCTTCCGTCGTTGTTCAGAACATGCTCGGACCTGTCTTCAAGCAGTACCGTGTTCTTGACATCCGTGAGGATGGTCGCGTTGTTGCTATGACCGAGTCTGGCGATGTCAAGCAGGGTCTTCCCGTCCTTGACCAGAGCGGTCTCATCTCCCGCCTGACCGAGTCCTTCGACAACGGCCGTGGCAGCGTCCGTATCCTCGTCATCGATGACGATGGTATGGAGATGGCTGTCGACTACAAGGTTGTCCACGGATCCAGGTTGTAGAAACATCTCGTCAATGGTAAGCATCACCACCATCACTTACCATCATCGCGCATCATCTAACACTACTCAGGTCTCATTCAAACGTTCGATCTTCAATCATCCCTTAGGCGTTTGCTTGCTCATGGCCCCTCATCTTATACTTGTGTTCATAACTTTTGCATCGTCACTTGACGGGTAGCATGGCGCTCTCAGGCATCGATCGGTGTCTATCGCTCTCGGTGTTTGGGTTGGTGTTCATGTCTGCTTGTTCGGGTGGTGGAAATATCGGAGCTACATCTGTGGATAGTTAATGAATTGCGTCTCCTTTAACAATCGTCTCATGCATCGTGATGTCTGTCTTATGTTGTTGTGAAAGCTCCTTCCTAACTCCATCGCCATGCCCTAGTGTTGTCTATCGCCCTAGCTATCCGAGGCTACCCCGCGTTCTCCACGCGCTCCTCCACTTGTCTACCTTATCACCAGCAGTTATACCCGGCCCACACGACATGCGAACAATGCACGTATCTTGCGTTCCTCCGCGATGTGGTTCACCACATGAAACATCTGACACCTACTCGCCATGCCTCACTCAGACCACTCCCCATCCCCACCACGCAATCACTTTCCCGATCTTCCAGTCTTCCCCGACAACGTACCCACCGCGCCACTTCTCCGCATTTCGCTTCGAAAGTTACTCGACCGCGACGAAGTAGAACAAAACAGGTGTTGGCAAGCATGTCGCGAGCTGGGTTTCTTCTATCTTGACGTACGCAGCTCCAATATACATTCAAATA